GTTATGTGCCGTCGAGTTGGCCCCAACTCATAGCGACCCCTCCTTGGGTTTCCGAGGCAGTATCACTACGGAAGTAGGATTGCCCAACCTTCCTTCCGAGACACTCCAGAGTACAAGTGAACTTAATTAGGTGTGTGTCAGTGACAACCAAAATCATGCCAATACATCCTCTAGTTGAACAATTTCATAGCTCTGTGGCACTGAACATTGCCACAGTGCAGTGGTGCCCTAAGGGACCATGAAGTGACCAGAGCTATTTGCCTTGACCTCAGTGGTCCCAAACTTCTTGGAGTCTTGCATCTGTTTTTTATCAGTGAAGCTATGAAGAAGTGGAACAAGTAATCTGCTGTCAAAATTTACCTCACAGGGGAAAATAACAGTCTGAGATCAATTAGGAAGGGGTCAAGGATATGCCATATACATCTGTGTCAGAGGACAAATGGCCTAGGGACAGATAGAAAGCATGGGTGGAGCTGCCTGCATTAAGCATAAACATGGTGAAAAGAAACAAACAGCTTCACAAAATTCTAAAGCAGAAATTAATAACAATAATGAAAAAAGAAGGCGAGGAAAAAACAGCATGTGATAGACAAAAAGAACCCATTCTGGAAGAAAATGTAATTCTACAAAAAGAAAAAAAATCACCCTAAAGTATTCTGAACTCCTAAAAAAAATCCTTAAAAAGAACATGAATTCAGTAAACTAAAAGCAATAATGAGGTAATTATAAAAAAAGGAGACACAGATCTTAGAAAACAAACTGGTCAGACAACACCATTATCAAACTACAACTGGCGAAGAACAGCATTACAGAGGAAAACTGAAATTCTCACTGAAAAATCATTTCAATACAAAGAGAAAAGACAAAAAGGTTAAGCAGATACAAAGATGCTAATGATAGATTTGAGGGGGAAAAAACACTAAAATCAATTCCTAATAGCACTCCAATATAGACATAATAAGTCTAAGCAAAACCAAGCCAAGGTGGCCTCACCACCTAGCTCCGAGGTAGGCTCGGGCGATTTCCAAACAAACAGGTTGCACAGTATTTCAGAGGAAGCCGGTGAAGCTCAGTTCTTCCGTGCAATGAAGCCATGCTCTGGTTATGGGGTGATGTTTCGGGAAAACGGGCCCACCAAGATGTCTACATGAAACCATTCCATACAGCTCTTTGTTCATTTGTGAGTAGCAAAGATTTCACCCCAAACTGTCAATGATGCGGACAGTCAAGAAAACAGGACTAGGAATACAAAGACCTGGGCTCTCTTCCTGCCACTGCCAGTAATTCTACAACGGTCAAATCTGTGAGCATCAAGGTCCTTATGGGTAAAATAAGGATAATATGATCCATCCTGGCTACCTCACTGAACTCTCATGAAGCTCAGTAGGAAAAATAAAGCTTAACACCACGAATTAGCATTCGAGCCTTCTAGGTATCCAGAAAGAGTTTTAATGGCTTTATTACCATAAATCCTCATGACAGCTCCTCCAGGTGGGTAATTTTAAAACCACAAATGATAAAAATGTAGAGCTATAATTATTAATTAAAAAAAAAAAATGAACCCTAATAAAAAACAAGTTCACAGAGACATGCTCAAGTCATCACATGATCCTTTCTAATTAATTCGGTGACAATGACACTGGGTAATTTGTTTAACATGTTCAAAGTGGCAGAATGTGAAACATTAATTCTTAGACGTGATGTCTGTCAAGAATTTAAGAATAATGAAGACCAATTTATTCAGAAATTGCAATGTGGGACAAGCTACCATATAATTTGGTGAAGGAGGAATATGTTATGAGCCAAGAGAGGAGTTATAGCTCCCATAAAATTTTCCAACTTAAAAAAAAAAATTATTAGGTAATACCACAGAATAGAACTTTTCACTCACAATCCTTTCATCAACCCCTAAGTTGGTGCTACTTTTTGAGCATGCCTAACTCCTACTGATTCCCACACAGCACGGTAAGGAAGAAGCACTAGACACTACCCTTTCTGTCCCATCAGGACAGACTGAGCAGATACAGGAAGGAGGATAAAGAACCCTGGAGCCAGGATATAGCCTGTGGTGGTGGTGGTGGTCAGGTGCCAATCAGTCAGTTCCAACTCATTCCCAGTCCCGCACTTACAGTCACTGTGTCAATCCATCTCATTGAGGGTGCTCC